ATTCACTGACTGCTTTTTGGTCAGTGAAATTGTTCTTCTTTCGTCAGTGTTGCCAAAAGTTAAGATGTTTCTCATGCATTTGAAAAAATACATATGGAGAAAAAAAGATTTTCTTAGCTTATCATTCGAGGGCCAATGTTTTTTTCTCTCTTAAAGTTGTATTATTTGTATATGTTAAGTTACATCAAATGAAAAATCACCTGTATTTCTGTACTATATATGTACATATGAAAAAGAAGTTAATGTTAAATATTTATTAAAGTTTAAATGCTTTTGAAATGTTGCAATTTATCTGAGTTGTGTGATTTTTGCTTGAAGAAAAATATACTTTCTCATTTTTTCTTTCATGTTTTTGATGGTAATGCAATATTTGACAGCCAGGTGGAGACAGAGCAACGTATTTATCTCAGTCTTTCTTTACACTGATGCTACTCCTCACATCATGACTTTTAAGCCTTGCTTCACAGCGACAAAATGACGTACCTCCAAATGTCAGCAATAATACCTCTGTTTGGGTTTATCTTGGTCATTTAAAAAAATAAAGGAAAAATATTATTGTTGCCATGATTTGAAGTTGGAACAAACCATCAAAACCAGTTGATGTTAAACAATCTAAAGCAACAAAGTAATTTCCAAATTCTATGTATTTAAGTTTATAAGTTTTCATGAAGCTTTAGACTTTTTAAAGAGTCTTGTATCACCTTATGAAATAATAAACACTTTTTTTTTTTTTTTGGTCTTTTGGATAGTTTTCATTTTGCAGGTAGAGAGAAATAAGAATTTCATTTATTTTTTTATTTTGCAAATAGCTTTTCTTGGGAAAATTTAATGGACATTGTATTTTTACTAATACCTTACATAGACTTTGTTCATTCAGTTGCTTATGTAGATAATATTAAATTTGTATGACACAAAATAATATTGTTTGTAAATAGTATTAAATGCATTTCAAGCATTTCAGAAACACTAATCATAAAAAATCTGTTGCAGAGGAGCTTAGTTTCTAGTCACATGGATGATATTAATATCAACATCTATAGGATGACTTATTGCAGTTATACTTTAATTTATACCACATTTAACATCGAACTGGAATTGGTTATAAAAGCCCTTAAACCTTCAAACAGTTATATATGCAGAACTGATTCAACCCAATCACAAAAGGTCCAGTTGTCTGTTCACTCTATAATTCAATTTCCTCCAAACGTTTCAAAACAAATGTCTCCTGGAAGTGCACCTCTTTTCAAGGAAACATCCATGTCTGCCCCCCGGAGGACAGATGATCATTTCTCAGAATCTCTCTGGCAGCTGGGAACAGAGTGATAAAAATCAATAAAATGGTTAGCTTAAAGATGTCCAGTTCTTTTGACCTGGAGTGTACACTGAAGCTTTTATCAACCACAAAAGTCCTATGGCTGAACAGACAGTCCTAAGTGGAAGAGGACAGGATTTCAAACAAAGTGTGGGAGATGGAAAAATCTCCTGTGCATCGTAAAAGTGTGCACACCATTGACAATATGTCAGGATTTTATAACATAAAAACTAAGATCCAATAAATCACTGCAGCTAGACACCTCTTAGCTCTCTTAGCTCCTGACAAATTTCCATTTCTCATTAGCTACTTTCACAAAACACTTTAAAGTGACATTTAGAAACTTTTTTTTTTTTTGCCATCTTCCCGTTTTTTAGTAGTGATGATGAATTTTCAGCCGGCCGTGCAATTGAAAAGTTGAAGCAAAAGAGATTACTGTAAAAGTTTTGATTACATGTGAAAATTGTAAGTACATTTTCTCAGTGATGAGTGAATTTGCATTAATAGTTGCGAATAGAACATTGCAACTTTCTGATTGAGATTAGGTTAAGGCTGTGTACAGTTTTGTCGCCAGGTCACTGCCTTTGCTTCATTTTATTTATATGCAATTTCCACAAAGGAACTGGGTTAAGTTTCAGTTATATTGTTCAGGATGTATTACTTAATCATGTTATGCATTAATGGAGCCATTTTGAAAATGGAGTTTGTTCGTCTCTTTGGGAGAAATACCACATCAACACTCCCTCAAGTTTAATCCACAGCAAAACACCACAATCAATCATTAGTGATGAGTAAACTCACTGATAAGACAGACATTTCCCTTTAAGCACAATCTCACGGATACAAAGGGAATGTCGGTTTGAAACAACCCCATGTTTGTTGCTTTTCCCATATTTTTTTTTCTGCTGAAGAGTTAGGGGGCAGTGAAGCCAGACTGATGTTGTAGTTGTTGTTTGTCATCAGCAGCATCCACATTGATGGGAGCCTTCAGTGTGGTGCCTGAGAGTCTGCCTGCTGTCCAAAACAAGCAATGCGCCTGCGTGTGTAAATCTCTGTGTCTGTTTGTTTGAGGAGAATGCTGTTGTGAGCTCTCCATTAGAGACCCATATAAAGACAGGAGCCTGTTGATGGAATGGACGCAGAAACTGCAGACTCATCTTCATCATCCCAGGTCACTTTGGCCACACCTAAGCACTAAGCAACATTTTTCATAGTTGAATCCTTCAGCCCATATATAGGGGAAAAAAACAGCTGGTTTTACAGGAGAATGGGTGTGGACACAGAATATCTGTAACAATTATTAAAAAATGTCTCAAAATGTGTTTTCAAATGTTTTCTTCCACAACAGATCTGGTGGAGGAGGTAGAGGAGCTTGATATTCTGTAAACAGATTATCTGTCTCATACTATCAGGAGGACATGGAGACAGTTTTAATAAATGCGGAAAAAAATGATTTTTATAAAAGTTACCAACTGCAAGTACAAAAGGTATTGTTTCTCAAGTTTTCAGGTGCAGTTATGCTACTGCAATAAAAAATTATTTGAAGAAAATGAAAATAAATTAAAATTTTAAGCTACATTTGGTGATTAGGTGACTTCGAAAACAATTCTTTCCACTGGATTTCATTTGGGAGAGTCAAACTAAAAGGGATAGAATATTATTCTACCCTCTTTTAGATGTATATTTATAAAAGTGAGCTTTTCTGAGAGCATTTGTTAGCTTGGCACACAGGAGTGAGAATGCAATCTACACTTAACAGGTTTGGTGTTTGTGTGATGGTAGTGTAGAGAGTGTTTCTGCAAACATTGCAAAGGCCAGTAAGCTACATAAATCTGTATGCTTGTGTTTATACTACCTGATGATGTTTTTGTCCTTTATGGTAGTAACTGGCAATTGTATGAAAGCTAATAAATGAAAAAAAAAAACATATTGGGTGAAAATTAACCTGCTAGATGAGCATTTGAAGTGGCAAATAATCTTTAATTCGACTTTGGTGGCATGTTGAATCAGCCACACTCTGTTTTTTCTCATGCCAGCAATTGTGAGAATGACAAATATTTGGCATTGTTTACTTCTTTGTCTATTTACTCATCTATTATTGCAACCACAGTGTGCCATTAGCTCAGCAAGAGACACAGTCACAAAAACAGTTCATCGTTCTCCATAAACTTGAAAGAAACATTTATTCTACATGTGGGATTTTGATGACTTTGAAATTTAATTACCACTAACTGTGTTAACATCCCAACAAAAGCTGGTTGTTAAATCTGCAAATGAGAAATTTTTGGTTTTCTCTCAGCAGTTAGGAGTCATATTTGATCATGTTTGAAAACCCATGACTGACCTTTGATGTGGTCAGAGGCTCCACAGAAATCCTTGTGATCTGTTCCATGGAAAAACAAGTAAACCAGCAGCTTGTTACATAAATTCAAAATAATGTACAACAAAAATTTGGAGAAACTGTTCTTATTTTTTAATATATAATCTTCTGTGCAGATTATATTATAATAAATATAATCTGCAAAGATTATATTAAATATATTATAATAAATATATATTTATTATAATATATTTAATATATTATAATAAATATAATCTGCACAGAAGATACAAAAGCAATTATTTGTACCATTTGCTGGTTCATCATTATGATCTCGTCTCTGTGCCACTCAAAAAACACAAAGTCATAGGAATAACTTTGTACTCTTGGTACAAAGATATAGAAATCATTTTGTATTTCCATAAATACAATGCGATAAATCTTTTTATAACGGCACCGATTCCTGAAAATGGGGATTTTTTTTTTCTCTCCCTGATTTTAACCACAATGTATTTTTACAATCTTTGCAACAAGTTTTCTTCAATTATCACCCGTTTAATAGATTTCACAGAAGTGGACGATTTACTAATCGGGTGTCCTCTTCAGACATTATTGCCCCGGATTTTATTTAGATTCATCATAGTAAAATGGGCTGAATGCATATGCACTCCACTCTTTTCATCTGTTGGTTTGTGAACATTACCTTGTGTTGGTACATCTCAAAAACCTTGTGTGTACAATGCGATTTGCTAACTTTTGCATGTTACTTTAGATGTCAGTGAAAAAAGAAACAAGGCTTACAGCACTATTAAAGGGGTAAAAATGTGTGTCTGAAGAGGAATGGGTGACTCATGTGCCATGTATTGAGTCACATGAAATTATTATCGATCTCTGCTGTGCAGTCATGATGTGCTTATACACATTGGTTGGTCTCTGCGCATGGCAGAGCAGCCATGTGCAGAGCTCTCACATGCACCTCAGCTAATCAACATTTCGAGCATTCCAAGCTGTACACATGAACGTCAGGTGTTTTTGAAGCTTGTCCGCTTTTATTTTATTTATCAAGTTAAGTATGAATATGTTTGCCAAAAAACAACAATATATAAATATATATATTTTTTTCTTTTTATTGTTCCTCTTCTTCTACTTTTCTGTCTGTTCCTTAACTTTCCCTCTTTTTCCCTGCCTCTGTTTCCTTCCCTCCATCATTACAGTCAGAGTCAGTGCTGGAGCTGAGGAAATGGACGGTGTGCCTATTTTTAGAAGCAGGGAAGGAGGGCAAACCAAAAGTAAGCTATGGAGAGAGGGGGAGTAAAGAGAGAGGAGGAGGGATGTGTGGAGGAGATAAATCTCCATTCAGCCTCTGCCTCTGCTCAGAGACAGCTGATGCTTCAGAGCAGCACTGCTGGATTCAAGCACAGGAGCTGAAATTGATTCAGATTTCAACTACAGCGAAAAGAAAGGATTTAAGGGACACCAACAGTTGCCATCTGTTACCAGGTGAGTGTGACATGCACGAGTTGTAAAGGCAATATATTCTGTTTCAGCCTTGAGCTGCGAGCGTGGAGCCATTTTTAGCCATTGTGTATCAAAGGAGGGACTTAAATTTAGCCCTGGTTACACCTTAGAAGAAACTGGGAGAGGCTGGCGTTTTGTGGTTTGAGGCGTTACTCTATTTTTGGTCGCGAAGGTTGAGACAAAAATATGTTGGGAGCCTCACTTGAGGTTGAAAGCAAAACACAGCTTGACATGATCTGTGTCTTGACATGACTGAGCTGGGGATTTAAAATAGTCATCTGTTTATCCAGCAAGATTGGTTGTGTTTTGGGGGATGCAGTTCCAGAATAAGCAAGGGGATGATGCCCAAAACGGGAGAGAGCGACTGAAAGAGAGGAAGAGAGAGACTTGTTTGTTTGGCTTGATTGATGCAGTCAGTGGATAGCTGTTTTGAAACGCAGTCTCTGGACTGCTATGGATCATGTGAGCAACTTTCAGATTATGTCACTGGAAAAACACATTAGTCTAATGAGGGGAAAGGAAGAGAGTTAAAAATAAAACAAAAAGAGACTTCAAAACATGCATGTTAATTCAGATTTACTCTGCTAATTTGCAGAGCTTCGTTTCACATATTTTAAGTGAAAGGGAACTGAATATTTGTTCTTTTATAAAAACTCAGATAAGATTCAATTCAAAATTCTCTATCCTTTTTATTAGTGTCCAAGTTGGTTAGTCAGACCAGGCATGAAGGAAACACCACCAGAGATGTGGCGGGAATCTAACACATACCCTGTGGTCATGTCCAAAGATTATGGCATTTTGGAAATGGTCCATTAAAGCATTATGCAGGTTATCAGGCTATATTATAATTTTTGCCCTGGTCTTAATATAGTAGATAACTCTAATCAGGGTCATACAATGCTTGCTTGTGGCATAACATCTGACTTCTAAACTCTCAAATCTGACATGTGTATAAATGTTGACCAAGAAAATTGGACATTAAAATTATGCAAAGTCTAAACTAGACTGCTTAAACCTGGACTGGCTTATTTTATCCTGCATAGGTTATTCTAAAGATAGGTTGGGAATTATATTAAAAAAGCTGTTTTCTGTGAATAGTTTTGGAGTTGTCATTGGTACAACCTGTAATAGAGATAAGCATGAACATAAAGACCAGTCAAACTTTTCAATTCAGTAATTTACCCTGACTACAGTCTTTAAGACTATGTTAAGTTTGGGCTTCAAATTGAAATTAATTTTCCCAAAATAAGGAAATAATAGTGAAAATAACTGTTTGCCTCATTTCAGTCTTGTGAAGCAAATAGCTGTATTCATTGTGAAACACACTCCCTGCATGCATCGCTAGGGTTGTTTTAAATGTAAAAACATTTTCTCCTTCCTGCTTCTAGATATGCGGCCAAGGTCAAGACTGCTGAGCAAGAGGAGAGTCATGCTGCCCACAATCAGAGAGGGCATGGAGGAGATGGTGAAAGACCTAAATGAAGCTAACACATTTCATTTTGCTGACAACACCCAAGCTGTCTCATCAGAGGACTACTTTCTCTCTATCTGTCACCTGGCCCGCCCCACCTTTCCTGCCAGAGATGTTTTCCCCCAAAGTCAGGAGACTGTGCAGCAGAGACTCATCGCGACTGCTTTGTCTCCGCTGGAGTTCAGTCTTAATGAGGACGAAAATGGCCGTGGTTCACTGCAGATGGAAGAGAAAAAATTGAACGCCGAGCTTATGTGTTGCAACTCTGACCCATTGGAGTATCTCTATGGAAATCAGAATAACCTTCTAGCCCTTCCAGGAAGGGTGAGGAAAGCATTTGTTAAGGGAAAGTTGGCAGGTCAACATGGAGACATGCTGGAGGGCCCCGCTCGAAGCAGAGCAAACAGCCTCCCCCACACTCCAAGCCCAGATTTACCATTCCAGTGCAAGAGCAGCTGCCCTGAAATCCTCTCTGACGTCAACACCTCAACTGCAAGTAGCTGTCCAGTACACAGCTTTCCCAGGTCAGAGGTCAGGGGAGTCGAACCCGTAGACAAAGGAGAAAAAGGAACAAGATTCCATCCAGCCACCCAACAATCTTTAATCTCCCAGTGGATCTCAGACTGTCGGTCAGCATGGAGAGAGGCACGTCTCCGGGCCTGCATGCTGCCTGCTATTGCAGAAGTGTAGCGAGTGCAAGGACAGTGACTGGAAAATTCCTGAAAAATAAACACAGAATATTTTTCATGTCAGAGCATGAGACATTCAGGGCAGAGCTGGTCAAAGGTTGTACAGGAGCTGATGTAGAATGCAAAACCAGTTTTCAACCATGACGTGGAAACCAACAAACCCAAACCCAGTTCACAATATATTTACACTCAGTGATGTTTTCACATTGAAAAGCCACAGGATAAAACCTACACTGACATGACGAACCATACTCCCCAGCTGTGAGACAAACAGTGGACATAAATAAATCATGAGCAGTTAATCATGAATTTGTTTAAATAAATAGTTCTACACTTTATTTAGCAATTTATTGATTTTTCAGCTAGTCTTTATAGCTAAAATATCAGCTATATAAAAATCAGCTCTTGCTCACCTGGGGGTGTTCTGCCCCCAGGTGAGCAAGAGACCCAAAGCAGCTTATGCCTCAGACAGGCTCTGATTCTATAACATATGTAGAAATACATGTTTGAAAACATACAGAGGAAAAGAAATGTCAGTGTTTCATACTCTTAGTGTTTGCTGTTGATCTTGTAAATACATGAACATGGACCAATCTTGTTTTATATTTTGTGTGTAATGACTTGTAAAGCAAAACAAATAAACCTGTCTTTTGATATGCAGTTTGTGATTTTCCTCTCTGTTCGGTCTTTGCGTGGTCTTGTCGGTGGAAACCCCTCAATAACAAGCCTGGTGCCAAGCAGTAGAATTTCTATGGTAACTGACGTGGGATCCTGTACTGGTAAACATCAGTGTGGAGGAAGACAAGCCTGAACACAAATGACACCAGTGAACCCACACATGCAAGATGCGGACTGTTACTCTGCTGCTCCTGCATGGCAAGAGAAGTCAAACATGTAAAACGAGGGCAACCATATTGAGCTTACTCATTACGGTCGCTCTTGTCAACGAGTCATAGTTAAACTTCACATAGCTGGAAAGATTTGCATTTCCTGTAAAATGCGTTGTGAATGCCGTAAGCTGAATATTTTTAGTGAAGTTGCAGAAGCATTTGAAGTCGGAAGACTTGGAGAAATGTGAGAAATAAGCAGAAGCAGCCGAAAGCAAAAGCCTGCAAAACGCAAACAGAAAAACTATAGAAGAGAAGTGAAAACATTCAGTCATGCAAAAATCTCACCCAAACGCTATTAGACATCCGTGCAGAACACTATTTACAAAGCTAAGATGTAAAGTCATAACAGTTCATAAATTAAATTAGCTCAAAAGCTAAAGCTTGCTAAAATATTATAGCTTCTAGGTTAGGACTACTATCAGTAACATGCTCTATGCAGAATGAAAAAAAAAACCTCTAAAACTGAAACTAGCTAAAATAATAATGACAGCATTTAAGCTAGCACTATGTTGACCTAGTCCTGTTAGGTAAACAGTGTGAAAAAACCCAGAAATGTATAAACCAGAGACATTAAAAAAGTAAAACAGTCTGCAATATCCTTTCAAAGCAAAACTTTCTCCTTATCATAAGTTGAAGAATACAAAGAGTAAGAAAATGATTTTAGCTCATCTAGTGCAGAGCGGCTTACATGCTGAAATTAGCTAAAGCATAATTGTGTAGGTCGCTACCATATTTCATAACAATAAATTCTTCCATCTAGTGTGAGAAAAATTGAAGTATAATAAGTGTGATAAGATGTTAACTAAAAAAACTAGTGTAAAATGAAGTGCTGTCAAGAGCATGCTATCACTAGCATGTTGGCATGTTAACATGCCAACAGCACATTAGTATTACTGTTGGCATTATTAGTGTGAATGCCTGCTGCATTTACATTAATAACATTATGAGACAGGTCTGACAATGACAATATCTGAATCTGTGATAGGTTTCACATTTTATCAGTAAACAGAAAGTAATTTTATTTTGAGCCAGAAGAGGGCGGAAATGTACTATTTGTTGATTGTGGACGAAGCAGAAAATACTTGTAGAGCATACTATATTACAATATAGTATTCTGTATAAGTAAATACTGAAGAAGTGAGGACCGCAGAAAATGTTAATGTTTCACAATTCATGACATATCAACATATTTAAACTGCATTTACATTTCAATGTACTTTAACATATAACCTCTGTAATGGACTGGCAACCTGTCCAGTGTGTGTCATTTCTCAGCACATAAATGCTGGAAATAGCCACCACTCCCTGCCGTCACCCTGCAAAGAAAGGTGGGTGTAGATAATATACAAATATATGTTAACGTATTGATTATTGTTTATGGGATTTATTTACTACATTACCTCCATTGTATCCCAAAAATCAAGTGAATGTTACTTTGCCAATTAGGTCACACATTCAAACAGTTGAATTCAAATATTGCAAAACCAAATAGTGACCTTTTTTAGAAGAGTCTGATTAGACTTATTTTAAGCTAGCTGGAAAATAAGACACCCTTGTTAAAAAGTTAAATTATGTTGAAAAAAATTGTATTGCTAGCCAGTCCACTGCTGCCATCCTGGCTTTTAAAATTTCCAATTACAGCAGCAAACCACTTTTTGATATTCAGCTAACATAATCATAGAAACAGAATTTTCATAAGAACTCCTCAAATAAAGGGAATAGTCTCATTCAGCCAAATGGAAGGAAGATAATAGAGAATACGTTGAGGTTTCTAAACCAATATGGCGCTTGATGTCACTTGGCACGCTCATTTATCGCACAGCGTGTCTTGCCAGCACCTTGGCCATGGGTTTGTCTGGTTGAAGCTGTGAGCCACATGTCTGTGAAAGTGACAGTGTGAAGAAAGCTGGTGCTTTTACTGACAGATCGTTTTACAAATAATGCAAACTGGAAGAATATATATATATATCATGACTTAGTTGATACAGTTGGGCTAATGTGAATAAGCAGGTGGGAGCATGATAAGAAAGGAACAAGGAGATGATCGAAATAATATGGGCAGAACTTAAAAAGACAAACGTATACAGCAGCCTGTGACAAAAATCAATAACACAAAATTTGAAATAATACATTCTAACCTCAGTTGGTGACAATAATAAAAGGTTACCTCAGTTGTTATCTTTGGAACAGAAACTCTAAATAAAAGGACATTTGGCTTTTTCACCAGCTTTATAATTAGATTAACATTTTTACAGTTGTCTGCCTTTTCATATTTTTCAACTTCTACGGTGTCCTTCTTATAAATCACAATATTCATTTTCTTTCTCGCATCGGAATTTTTTTTAGAAAGAAAAATTTTTTAGAAAAAAATTCTAGAAATTATTGAATGTATAGGTTTAAAACTTTTACATTCATTTTACGAAAGTCATCATTTTCAGAGAACATGTATGAGCAGGGAGGTGTGAAGCTTTGTTGGAAATGTGTATGTTCCTTTTCCATCAAACAGGAAGGATATTACAGGGTCTTGTGCAGTGTTGCTTTTCGCACTTTTTTTTCTTAGCAACCACAAAGCCTGTCAAACCTAAATAATCGCACGTAAAGAAGGGCTTTGAGAATCATTTTGGTCTCCTCTGCTATCATTTTGTTGAAGGGGATTTTTAGGTGAAAAGCACATTTTGCAATGATTGGACCTTCAGTTCCTGCCTTGATTCTAACTGATGCAGCAATGTTCAGTTATAAGAATGTCAGAAACACAAATTTTCTTTCTGTATCAGGGACACCATTACGACAAATATAAATGAAAACAAACAGGTATAAGACACAACATTTTGACCACAACAGAACGAGTACAAAGTGTGGCTTAGAGAGTCAAAAATGTAAAATGGTAGAGTAGGTAAAGACGACACAGGAAGTTTTAAATAATTTTGTGGTAGCTCTGAGCCACCGTCAAGAGCCACACGAAGGAGCATTTCTTCAAATATCAAGTGAAACTCGTTTTTTAACCTTTTGAACTTCTGTCTTTACACAATAGCTTAGCGTAACAAGTTGTTGTGTGACTAGTACAAAATATGTTACATGAAGTTGTATGTGACTATTTATATGCATCATAAAGATTTAAAATCTTAAAACTCTGAGTCGTTAAAAAATGGACTAAAATAACTGCAGTAACTCTTTCAAGAGAAATTTAATTTGTATTGCAGTTGCTTAATTGAAGACAAAAAATGTAAAGCCTAAGAAATGAAACATCACCAAGGCCACATTTATTGTTGGTGCTTCAAATTATTTTTATGAAATAAATGTGAGCAAAGAGTTGTTAAAATATAAATTGCATGTTTAAGTTGATCAGCATCTAGAAACTTTGGTTTAGTAACCAGTTATTTCCCATGTTCCTGGTGAATACATATGACAAAGAGAAGCATTTCACTGGTATCCACTGGGGTTACAGACCACAGCTACCTGTCAATAGTTGAAGTCCTTGACACTTGAAGGACCCACTAAAAAATGCCAATTTTAATTATTCAGTCTCTCTAAATATACCTTAATGTAAAGATATAGTATACTAAATACAAACATTTGACATGTTCTAAGCCAGTGTTTTCCAACCCTGGTTCTCAAGGGCTAATATGTTTTAGAGGTTTCACTGCTTTAATGTCCCTGATTCAACTGAATGCAGTTCAACAAACGCCTGTTAATCAGTCATCTATTGAAATCAGCTGGACTGAAGCAAGGAAATACCTAAAACATGCAGGGCAGTGTGCCTCAAGGACCAGGGTTGGGAAACGATGGTCTAGGCGCCACCATAAACACTATGTTGGGTGTAAAGCAAATCGGCGCTAATAAAAATTATTACTCCTTCTGGATTGCTTGCTTTGCAAATGGAAAGTAGCATTGTGGCTGGGAATTTCAACTTGATTTGGTTTGAGACAAAGGAGAAATATGTGGAAAAGCAACCCACTCTGGCTGTTGTGACAGGTTGAACATGTATGATCATGTGGGCCTGTTTCTCTTTCATATCAGTTCCTTGAGTTACAGGCGACCTCTGCTTCCTTGAACAAGTTAGGATTGGTCTTCGGACTACACAAAATTTGTTCATTACATTTTTTGCACAAAATCATTTTGAGCATTTAATTATAGACAAAAAAGCTGCAGTGTATTTTTTAGTGGACTGCAGAAGCCCTACAGACCAGAATGAAAGTACCAAAATGTGCAGAAAGTACATTTTTGCCTAATAGGTCTCCTTTAAATTATGTAGAAACCTATGAGTTTCTCTGAAGGAGAGGGAGCAAAGGCCTCTCTCTCTCTCAATGTTCCCATCATGTGAAATCTCATAGAAGTGTTTCATTTAAAGGGGATTGTGCAAAGTGTTGAGAACAGTAATCTTAAATGAGTCTCACTGATTATTGTTTCTAAAGAAATTATATCTCTTTTTAACTTGTTAAATAAGTGTACACATAAATCAAAGGCTAAGTTTAATTTAGCCTTTACATTAAATTTAGCCTTATATAAGCATCATATTCTTCAGTTTATGTACAAAATGCAACAGGAGGTATAACTTCATTGTCCATGTTCCAATTTAGTTGCACTTCAGTTGTCTAGTTTCTGTTTATTTTTCAGGCTTTTCCTTCAAAAAGGTTGTTTATAGAAAAATGAGAAGTGTAACTGAACTGGACGGCTCACGAAAAGTCTGCAGAGGAAGAGACAGTGCCGACGTATTTTTTTCCCTCTCGGCTCACTGCTGCATGGGACTTCTGGTGGAAATGTGGTCTGACTCACAAGGACACAAACCAATAAAGGCACGCGTGGTGGGCAATCCCCAGTACATCCGCTAGATTTAAATTGTCACTGAAAAGGAAAAAGAAAGTGGAAAAGGAAAGTTTATATTAACCACTCAGGCCATTTCACTCTTGATGGAAGATAGAACTGCCCCCACACATCATGTCTAAGTATTCAATAACCTTTTTTTTTTTCTTTTTTTTTTTTTGTCTTTTGTTTTTTGGGTTTTTTTTTTTTTTTTTTTACTGATATGTACAGTCCAAACCCACAAATGCAAAAGCTATAACATATTACCAGAACATTAAAAACTGAAATAAATAAATAAATAAATAATATTTAAACTTTCTGGGTGCTGTCAATCCCAGCACCTATTTAGAAAAAAAAATCTAAATAGGTGTGGAAAAAATTTAAATTACTTTTAAATGATAAAAAGTCATCATGAGAAAGTATTAAAATTACTCAGTCAGCACCAGCATTTTTTTAAACTGAGGATGGTTTCAGATCACACTTTCTGGCCACAGGATCATCAGAGTTGCAGAGAGTGAGCTCTATGCTGCAATACAAAAAAGTCCCTTTCACTTCTTTTAAATGTCAGGCAAGACCACTGTTGCAGAAATGGCAGATTTAAATATTTGTTTTGCTCAAATTTCCACCTAACATCATAACATATACCGATTTAAATATAAAAATAAACATTTTTAAGATTTGTTGTTGCACAAAAATAGTATTTTTTTTTTTAAAGTATGATGCTGCAATCACACTTAATTGTCATTCCAAAGGGATATATGCATTTTAACTTATTTACAGATGAAACCTTCAGCCACATGTGTGGTTTAGAGTTGACCAAGTTTTGGGTTTCAGGTCTGAGGAAAAAATGTCGAAATTCCAAAAAATTCACAGTCAGACTACATTCACGGTAGCCAACTGAATTTAGATGATGTTAAATAAATAGGGACCCATTTGTGAATGTAGTGCAATTGCAAACCTACCTCGACATGGCCAGATCTGAGAGATCAGCCAAGAAAAATGTTTACAAGAAATGGTGAAATGGCAGATGGTAACTCTGGAGGAGCTGCTGAGATTCCCTTGTAACGTGTTGGTAGCAGCTTCATGTTGTGGGTTGCTTTTATTAAGCAGGAACAGTTGCAGTTGGCGTAAAATACAGAAAAAACTGCAAAAAATCATTTGGAGTTTACAAAAGACTCAAAATCTACTGAGGAATGTTCACCAAAAGGCTTTCTGGTGTGTAAAGTGTATGTCTTAATATCTGACATTAATGTGCATGTGTGTGTGTGTGTGTGCGCTGCCAACTATATTGGTTTCTGAGGTTGGGGTTGGTGAGAAATCTGTGACTGTCCAAGTATTAATTTAGCCATTACTGGGGTTTCCTACTGGAAGCTTAGAAGTCTCAGAGGACAAACCAAGAGTAGTTTTCATAATTTTGATGGGGTTTCTGCCTGAACTCCACCATCAGACCTTAACCAGTTGATATTTGACTATTGTGCAAGAATTAACCCTCTCTTGTCCACGCTTGTCAATGAGAAGAGTGGCATTTTTTTTGGTAGCACTGTTAAAGATAGCAGCCAGACATTTCATCAAGGAACCACTTTAACATTTGCACAAGATGCAATGATCAAATACATTCATATTGACTTTTTATATCATGAAACATTATTGAATCATGCAAAAAAGCCTACCCTCAGACAGCCTCTTATGACATCATGAAAAGCATGAGCAACTAGTCAGAGTGGTTTTGTGTATATCCTTATTTTTTTATTTTTTAATCAAACTCATCCTTAAAATGTATTTATTTAAATTTTGTCCAGTGAAATTTATTATTTTTAATTCATATGCCTTCTGTGATTTTTGTTTGTAAAATCCTAAAGCAGAAATTCATCATTATCCAGGCATGTTCTTAATAAAAAAATGAAAATAAAAAGAAAGAAAAGCAAATGATTAAAATACACGACACTGCGTGGAGTGTTTAACACTGAGTGAATATGTTCTGGTGAAACATAAAGGCCTAACATGGTCGACTTTGTCAACACATAACACCATGTATTTGCAAATTAGTTGGAATTAAAGGTGTCCTATTCATTTTTGGTTTTGTGTCATTTTCTTAATTTTTAACTTTTAGCAACTTTTAATAAAAAGTTACTAAACTTTTTATTAAGTTTAGCAACTTTTGAGAAAAAGTTGCCAAACTTGGTTTAGTCACCTCTTTTTTTCTTAAACTGAAACTTTGTGGTTTCTGAAGCCTGTGCTACATGACAGTACAATTAGAAATAGAGAAGGAAACAGTCTGGGATCCTATTTGACTTTTGAGACTTGGAAAAAGTGAAAGAGGATCTAAAACTGAAACACAAGTGTGAAGCTGTGTTCTAAAATCAACCATTTTTCTGATAATACACGTTGTGTGAAAATAAATCAAAGATCTGGGTCTGATAAGAGGGACAATATAAAACAACTGTGGAGGAAACTGAAATAATACTCTATCAGATAAGAGACCACATTCACACATGTAAAAGTAAATGTCAAGATAAAATCCCACATGTTTGCAGTGGAAAGAAATAAAAGGCCTCCTTTGGTTTTTCTTTTTTTTTTTCCGGGGCAGCATTTCATTCAGTGTTGCATTTGCTCGAGGTGTTAACCACTGCTGCTGCTATATAGACATGAAAAAAACATTTGCAAAGATCACAGCCCACACTTTAGTCTGCCAATTATCCACATATGTCAGAACTAGTTTTTTCACAAGGGATGAAGTCATCATCTCACCTTTTACAAATAATAAATTTGATTTGATTTTCCTGATTGCACAGCAAGAAATATAAAGACTTGAAAATGTATCTTGTTTGAACCTGATTGAGTGATTTTATCTGAACAGTGCTTAGAAATAGAAATAGTTTTTTTTCCTTTTCCATGACACTGATTAATAAAGTTCTGAGTTAAACAAAACACTAATTAAGAAGAGATTAATGTTGATTTCTAGTTATAGGCTTTCTAATTGAATGTAATTCGATCCTGTGTCTTTACATCATGTATAATTAAATGTAATATCTAATATATTTGCTATATACCTGTTGATTCAGTCTTTACCAACATATGTTTTTCTCAGTGCTATAATCATGCATTTGGTCAATTTAGTTTTTATTTGCCCAATACTGACCAATTTCAAACACAAAATTGAGCGCAGGAGGGAGTAGGATGAGCGGAAGTTGTTTTTTTTTTTCCTTGTGGGTTTCAGGGTTTCACTTTCCAGTCTGAAAAATTTCCCTTTTGTCACAGGAGAGATGATGTAAGCATCTCTCGACCGTATTAAAGAGGGCTTCCACTGCCTCTATCCTTCACAGCTCTTTAGTCAACAAACCTGCTGCTTTCTCATCTTGACCACCGGCTCTCTCTCAACTAAGAAACCAAGGATGTCTGGCATCATGAAGGTGTTTCTGCTCCTGGCCGTTGCGATCTGCATCTCTAAAGCTCAACGTAAGTTTCTACTCATGATTAGCATTTTTGAAATTCAAAAACTGTAAGAATTTGTCAAATTGGAGTAATAACTTTATTTTTGTCTGTTTTTAGTGAATGAACCAGGACAGAGCTGTCTTTGTCAGCGTGTCAGAAATGGTGTCTTCTCAAAGTCTGACATAAGGGACATCCAGATTTACCCTGCATCTATCTTCTGTAATAAAGTTGAGATTGTGTAAGTTACATCTTTTAAGTTAAAATCGTCTTTGCAAATGTACTATTTTTGACTCACAATCTATGCACTTATGTTAATGAGAGGTTGAATGTTTGTTCTTCTGTTCAATTTTATGCTAATCTCTCTATTTCTATTCCCACAGTGTGACCAGTGTAAACGGCCGCTACTGTCTGAACCCTGAACTTCAAATTGTGAAAAAGATGCTTACCAGAGTCTTGTGAGTATGACATAAATCTGTGTGCCTTTTTCCATACACCTACTGTTCTTTTATTTCAGTTTCAGAGTGAATTGCACCCTGCGTTAAATAAAATCCTGTTTGCTTTGTTGTCAAATGTAGAAGGAGAAAGACCGCCTCCACTTCCAAGCCCACCAGTCTCAGTAGCAGCTCAGTCAGCAGCAGCACCACAGCTAAGATCTGACTCTCCATGTTGAAAAGAGAACTTCCCCTCAGCTCCAGCAACAAATGTACCTTCAATAAAGACTGCTGAAGCCAAAGGATATTAAACTATATAGATTGCTGAAGCCCAAGGATATTAGACTATATATATTTGTTTTTATTTATGCAAATGTGTGTGTATGCAGCACAACAATGCTGAATGTCATGTTTTTTTGTGCCACTGTTGTGGAGTAAGACATTTTTATGAAAACTATTTTATTTTTATTATTGCGTTTCATGGCTGTTTTTCTAATAAAAAAAAAGAAAAGAAATCAAATAAGTTACTGATTCTTGAATTTTTCTGACACCTGAAACGGTTGGGTCATGCAACAACAGCTCCCCCTTGTGGTTTAAGGCTGCAAATACAAGATAATGGAACTGCGTTACGTCACTTGCCATGTCAGGTGCTTTCGGGCATGCTCAGAATATCTTTCATTGAGTGTTAGGAGTTGCTTTCCAGGGTAACCTCAATGAACAGCTGACACCAGAGCTGCGTGTGGACATTTAGGGGATCAATGACCAACCAACGCAACATGTTCCTGCTCATGTCCCTGCGAGGGGTGGCACCGCTTCATTCACTCCCATTGGCTGCTGACCTTCACACCCACACACAAACATATAATTTCTCTTAACACTGGCATCAGGATTAAATACTAAGCATTACATTTCATACTAATTGCAACATGAAACTCACTGTCACTTTGGAAATAAGTTTCATTCTCCAAATGTCATTCGAGGGTCACAAATAAACAAGCTCAATGTTTCAGCCATGGATTCACAACTCTTATCAATACAAATCTGAAAAGTGTGGAATAAATGTATGCTTAAATCTGCTGAGTTTTTGCTGCGTAAGATTATTAGTCATAACCTACTGATTCCTGCAGCTCCTCCAGAGTCACCATGAGGCTCTTGGCTACTTCTTTCATAATGCTGTGTTCGATTTGTCTTAGAAATTTGCCTCTAAAGTTGGAGCTCAAACTAAACTGAAAGTGTTCTGGTTGAACACTTCGGTGTTCAACCAGAACACCAGAATATCAGAATATATATATATATATATATATATATATATATATATATATATATATATATATATATATATATATATATATATATATATATATATATATATATATCTGGATTATGTTATATATATATATATATATATATATATATATATATATATATATATATATATATATATATATAATATATATATATATATATATATATATATATATATATATATACTCTATTCACTCCTTACTTATGTGACTTATGTTACTGCTTTGATGGCCTAGTTATTTATCTCGGGTTAATGACACTTGTCCTCCATTTACAGACTGCATAAAAACTAAGAGCTGTAAACCAAAGCAGCGTCGTTTCACTCTCCTCTGCCCCTCATCCCGCGCCGATCCTCCCCTGCAGGGGCTTCCAGGTTCAGACGGTCATTTCTGCCACCGAAAACAGACACAGGGAGAGGAAGAGAGAAGGTAGGCTCCATCCACTGCTGCCGCGTGTTCAGTCTCTGTTTGCTGTTCGACCAAAAGTCATGGACCAACTAACCGGTGAACAAACACGCAGGTTTCATTCCTGCCATCTGCTGCTGCTGCGGGGATCGACGGGACATTGGCACAGAAATCAGCGCCTTTGAGTTATTTTAACAAACTGACAGAAGGGTGAGTGTTATAACATGCATCGTACTCATGCAAACCTATAAAAAGTGCAGGACCGATTACAGACACACATACAAATGAGGATTGAATCTGCTGACAAGACTTTGAACGCAAAGGATAAAAGGGATTCTTGTCATTTGAACTCAGGCTTTTGCAGAATAACAAGCTATTACTGTAGCACCTTTACGATAGCTTCCGTGTGTTTTATTTTTGCAAGTCACTGTAAGTGGCTTCCTTTATTTATGACGTGAACAAGTCAGCTGTCTGTGCAGCAGCAGAATAATAAAACAGGCTACCTCTGATAGCAAATCAGATTAAGCCTAAAGAAGTCTGCAGGTTGCGTAGGATTTTTTTTTTTCTTATTTGAGAAAGAAATGGATTTTAGTCTAAATTCAAGGAAGTTGTAATCATGTCATCATAGAGAAGATCAGAATTCATGCCAAATATATTTAATTCATAGTTCATATTCATAATTTATATTTTTATGTGCGCATTGGCTGCTCCTCTGCTCATGGAAGAAGTCATTGAATGTGTCATTACACATTAAAGTTCTGAGTGTTAATTATTCAGATATCTAAAATTAAACATTTTGTTTAAAACTGGAGAATTCACATGGGATTTTCCTGAAGATTAAAATGTGCTTCTACTGTTAAATGGGTAAAAAATAATTGTGTCCAAATAGACAACAGTCTGCTTGAGCACATCCACTTTTGCTCTGCAGAAAACTGAGGGAGGCTGATACGGGTGACTCTGACTGAAATTCATATTAATGACACTGCTGGACAGTAACCAGACTCTGCAGTTCTATTTAAAGCAGGTCCAACAAGGCAAGCTTTGCTCTGTGTTCACTCAAGAGAGAATTACTTATTCCTGACTATCAATAATTATTTGTCCTTTTCTGACTCTCTATCTAAAAGAGAGGCTGCGACACAATGAGAGTGGGGAAACAACTTTTTTCAAGACTTCATTTGCAACAATACAACAAATTCAATTTTTTGAAAACAGTTTTGCTGTTGCAACTGAATGTTGTTATTATTTAGTCACGTAGTGATAAAAAACAACAGAAAGTTTGTTAGATATATATAGCTAATTAAAATGGAGTAAATAATGAACTTTCTTATTGCAGTAAACCAAATAAGTGCACATAAAGATAATAGGAATTAATAAAAAAATATTCACATTTCACAATGATAAAATTTCTATATAGAATGAACCTATATTATTATACATTCTTAATTTTTATTTACACATTCCAGCTCAAACATTATGTTGTTATGCTAGAAAGGTCCCAGGTTTAGAGTTTGAGCTAGAGCTGATCAAACACTACTCAGGTTGGTTCAAGAAGAGAAATAGCGTTTGATTTATTTTGTAATACATACACCACTTGAGATTATTGCACTCACAACCACACAGTGTGCCTGTGTGTGTTTGCAGGTGTGTCACACTGAGCAGAGAGCCATCCTTCTGTCTTTTGTGGTAATACCCCCTCTTTTGGTGTCAAAATGGCCAGAGACCAAGGAGACATCCCAGGTAATTAGAAACGACACATTAACTTTCATAAAGACTTGAATCTGTATCTATTTACGCTGAGCTTTGTCTTGTTTGCTGCCATTTTTCAGCACTTGAGTCTGGCATGGCTGGCCTCTGTGTTGCCTTATCATCTCCCGCTGGAATAGCTCGCCACAACATCAGCTACGATGAGCACATGGATATCCCCATGCATCACCCTCCTGCGGACATGACAGTAAACAACTTCTGGAAAGACCCTCTCATCCCTCGGCACAGGTTCAGGAACAAAGAGGTGCTCCTTCCTTGTTCACACTTCTAAGCCCAGATAGTTTTTAGCTTTAATATTCTTTGCTTGAACTCATGCCAAACTGGTCGTGCATATTTGAATGCTCTTGCTCACTTTGTGTTCTAGAAAGGAATTAGTATCTAATTTTGTCCTTAACCGATAAACCTGTGATATTAGGTAAGTGAGAGTGGTGACAAGATAACAACATGCGAAGCATCATTACCACCCAAGTCCCCAGTCCTTGTTGTTAAGGCCAAAGCCAGCTCACTGATGAGTTCCCTTATGTCAAGTAAGTCAACTGAAGGCATTTAAAAATTATTTGCTTCTGTTTCCAAATACATGCTGTCCTTTGAATATCACATACATTTCTAAGCCATCTTAAGAGTATCTGTGAAGCAACAGAAGAGAACATGTAACTATCTGACTCTTTCTCTGTATTTCCATTTGCAATCAGGACAATCCCAAGAAAACCTTCAGAAGTTTGAGCACCAGGCAGGACTGACTGAGGCTGTTTATTCTCCCCACAAGGGCCTCACTGCTGAGGAGACCCAGTTCCACAGAGTAGCTGATGGCAAACTGCCAGTAAGTTTGAACAAATGTGGGCAGCAGTATTTATCCCTGAGCACCACAACAATCTGAAAAAGCAAAAATAATTCAATACAGTAGCGTCATTGCACAGAGTTCTATGGAAAGAGGGTCAAAACTTATGTAAAATAAGGCATTGCATTTCCTCACTTTACTGCAAGTCCAAGCCTGAATCATTACTTCTTCCAACATGTGCATAACTCTTGAGTTTTTGATATTTTTCAAATTACAACACACTTCAATGTTTTTCATTCAGATTTTACCTAAAAGAACAACACAAATTAGAATAGATCAGAATGGTCAATGAGTCCATGAGGGCTATTATCTTGCAAAAGATGTGTGCCATGGCTAAAACCCCTGAACCAAACAAAGGACTCCTTAGCAGGCATCTATTGAGCTGCTAATGATGCAGCTCAATAGATGCCTGGCTTGTTTTCCCAGAAAGAAAACAAGCCAGTCATCTGTTGACTGGAGTGCTGGGGTGAGGAAGCATCCAAAGGCTGAACGATTGTTGCTCTTGAGGACTGGACTTTGGCACCCCTGAACTTAAGCATAAATGGGAAGTTAAAAGATGAGGCTATAAAGTTTTCAGTTTCTTTGAAAAATGCAATTTGCAAAGTCTGGTACACCTACATGTACACAACCACCATGGTAGAACATGGTGGTGGCAGCGTCATCAAATAAATTGTGTTGTGTTGTGCCACATCGCCAAGGACATCACTGTAACAGCTCTAGAGTCTGAGACAAAATTTCCTACAGGCAGTGGCAGTTCTAGGGCATATTTACCAGGTGGTGGGTGTGGGCTATCAATGATTTTTTATATGGTTGTTAAAAAACAAAAACAAAAACAAAAAAAAAAGCAAATATTTTATTATGAGTCAAAGAGCCAAAAGCGGATCCCTGAAGTTGAACATGCAGCACCCCAATTAATTAGTTGTAATATAAAACTGTGTCAATGTCTAGAATTGTCCATGTCTATAGGGGCAGTAAAGTCACTCAATAGGGATGGCGTAGGCAAATCAAGTGCAGATTTGATTTAATTTTGTGTTGGTGTGCTATATCAACCCCCATTAAAATACAATTACATTTATTGGTGTAGAAAAATAATGGTCCTTTTATAGTTGAAAGCAGCATGGTGAGTATAAATTGCCTTATATAAGACATTTCATTTGGAAACATGTTATTTATTGAACATTCAAAAAGTGTAGATACCCTTGTAGGATGTAGCAAAGAACAATGGGAAATAAAATGTTTTACTAAGCATTGGAGTGTTTTACTAAGCACTAAAATCTCCCAATGTCTCCCAAATGAGTGATAACAGTTGACATTCACAGAGTGCCTGTTACTGCGTGGTTTTGTGGACAGAATTGTTCTGTTTACAGGTCTAATTTTAACTGCTAGATTCCTTTTGACCAGCTGTCAACTTGTTCCAGATCCACATTGTTTCTTAATATTGCTGCTAGAACACCTGACACAGTCGGATTCTCCCTTTTCTGCAACAGCATTGATGCGCAGATTCCTCAAAAACACACTTTTATTGCGAAATTATATATTAGCTGTTCAGCAAAGGTGCTGTGATGCCGTTTAAGTGAACCAAACAGCGAACAACATCCTGATAAACAAATTACGCAACGGGCTCTACGCTTTATCAGCGCTGTTGCTAGGTAACGCCCTTCGTATGAGGCGAGGCCTCCTCTTTCCGCGAAACGAGCCAATCATCGCGCTCCTCCCAAAACGAGGCCGTTTTCGGTGTACAACGCTGACATCGTCGTGTTTTTAAGACATAATCCTGCACCGAAACGAGCAATTATGGACAAAATGAAGCGAGCTATCGAACTGCGGCGTCAAAGAAAGCTCATCATAAAAAGGTCGGTCCTGCTTTAGCTTCACTTTATTCCTAGAATTCTGCGTTTTTTTTACAAAAGGAGGCCACGAGCATAGCAAACTGGCGAGCTACGTAGCAGCGCTAGCGCTAGTGCTAGCATGAGCCAACGGACTATTGTATCCAGGCGTTTCTCTCTTTAATTCTGTTCTGCCACAGTAGATCACTTGGACGATATTGATTAATTAAAGACGAATATTTGTTGGTTAAGTAATCACAGTTTTGTAACAATAGTTAACCGCCCGTCGATCGCTCATGTGGTCTCCTACAAGCTGTTACTACGACCTGACTGTCGTACTGTGGCTCAAATATTTAGAAACGCTTTGAAATCAATGACCATCATCAACGCAGACTGAAACAACGCAGACTATCCACCAATTGATAATGTTAAAAAAAGAAGACGTATAAGGTTAGTTTAGCTTCTGCTTCACATTTACCCTTCAAATGTTGTTTTCTGGAGATTAGTTGTGCTCCTTTTATTGTCTATGTAAACTTAATGTATTTGTTATATAGGACAGAAAACGTATGAAGGTAGAAATCATGTTATTTTGGGGGTGTTATAATAAGGGGATGTTACTGTGCTAGTTTGCATTTCTTTTCTCTGACTTGCAGCAGTATAAGTCATATGGACATTGAAAACCTTATAAATGTCACACTCTGGTTGTTTTGATAAGCTGCTGCGATGTCACATAATATTTATTTCATTTGGCGGTCATGGAAGAAATTACTTGTTACAAGAGTCTGGATGAGTAGAAATGAGAAATGTATTAAAACTTTGCAAGGTGAGAACAGGAATACAGAGTCAAAGGAGTCTGCCAAGTCTGCTCTGGCTAACAGTGGGTCGGTTCTGATCAGAGAAGAGAGACATGATTGGACAATAGGTGTGAATCCCTGATTGTTATGTACCAAGAATTATGTACCAAGATGGTCTTGGCATTTGTCTATGTTTAAGGAAAGGGGGTTGTTCTTTAATGCTAAAAGGGGCAGATTAGTTCTGGGTTGGGGAAATAACACTAGATAGTCTCCAGGATCAAGGACATCCCCTGCTGTTATATGGCACTGTAGAAGTCTATGGGAGAGCAGCTTGACCAATGAGAATGACTTTCATGATCACAATTTTACCCTGATGACATTGGCATCTTGGATAAGCTATGTATTCAGTGAAAAAAACAAAGTAAAATATACCTGGCCATTCAGTATACGCAACCAGAAATATTAAGTTTGCCGGATATTAATGAATCAAATATAGAGAGAAAACCAGTTGTTTTGAAGTTCAGTGTGGTGCATCATGGATGCACCATGATGTCAGTTGTTTTTTTGTTTTTTTTGCATAGCTGTTCTGAAAGCAAAACTGAACAGGAGGGCTGGTCATGTGTTATTTGGGTGGATGGACATGTGATAGTAATTGCTGTCGCATGTTTTTTGTTTTTTTTCAAGAGGCAAAATTGTTGGAAATTATTAGGCTTGTTTAATTTATCATGCATGAATTGACTCATTTATTATTGCGACAGGGCTAAATATGAGTTAATTAAAAATCAGATAAACGCAATGTACAGTTGTTTTGAATAATCCATGATTATTCTAAGTAACTTTGAGCGCAATGTTTTTCCAATATTTTCTGTTGTATTCAAAAGAATTACCTTGATAAAGAACCTGCTACATATTTTTTTTTATCTTTATGTGTTTGAATTTTTTCAAGTGGTTTATTGTTTCCTTTTTCATGTCAGTCATGTCCCCTTTAGCCCCATGCCTGACACCACAACAAGTGACTATGACGCACATTATCATCAGTTTTGTCCTGAGTGCCCAGTTAAACGACCTCTGCCCTTTTGCATTGTGTACTCAGTAATGTTTGCTTTCCAAATAGGATCGGTGCTGCGCCGCCATCTAACTTGTTAACATCCTTGATTCGAACTTGTTAAAAGATGTATAGTTTTCACGTTTAAGGTTGTTGAGAGATTAGCAGGTTTAATTGAGTGTCTTTTTTTTTTTTTTTTTTGCTCTCCTGAGTAGAAGTTGAGAATGCCGGGGGACTTCAAGGAGGACAGGCTTTCAACATCTGCACAATCGACCCCAAGTGGCACGCCTACAGTCACCCCCAGTGTTACCCCCAGTGCTACTCCTGTCTCATCACCAGCTGTTAGTCGCAGGTGAGGTTTGTCTGTGAAATATTTTGCTTATTTTCGCAATTACACATAACTAATTGAACCTGAATATTAAAGTGGTAGAAAAAAAACTTTGAATATGGCTCCTGTGTTTGCTTGTTTTTTGTTTGTTTGTTTGTTTTTTTGTTTTGTTTTTTTCAAAATTATATTTTTGGTTTGTGGGAATCCAGGAACTGGTTCCAGCTGAATCCGACCCATTATATTACTGCACCTGAGCCTAATAGACCTGACCCTTACATAGACATGGGAGGAAACGAAGGAGGAGGAGGTCCAGATAAGTGGAACTTCTTTGGAACCCGGTCTGTGGTCCACAAGTCCCCCACGGACCCAGGCTCTGACACCAGCACAGGTGGGAGCGTTAAATGTACTGTTCGACATTGTGGATGGGAACAATGTTGTTTTAACTGTGATGCTAGCTCTTGAGATATTATGATTTAACTATCATAATGACACGACCTGCAGCTGTGAAGCCAGATTTTTACTCATGTATCCCTCATCAGAAATATTGAATGACAAATACTTCATTTGTACACAGTGAGTGATATAAATCATCAGACTGGTGGTGAGGTTTATGTTTTAGCACCTGAAACAACATAAACCAGTCAGACCAGCAGTTCCCAAAGCCACGCAAAAATAAAAACCTTGTAAAAGCGTATGCATGGGGTAAAAAGCTCTCAGGGTCTAATGGACCCGTCTCTTAAGATCACTGGAGAGTTGGAGATAAAATAAAATCACATATTTAAGTGAGAAATATTTTAATTGCTTTTCAGTGTTCTTAGTTATTCAAATCTAACGGTTTATATAATCATTGTTCTTAATTATATCTTGTCATAATGTTTGTTGTTGCTGATATTAAAATATAAAGTACATCTGCCGTTTACCCAATTCGCACCTGCATTTGTGGGTGCAAAAAATTAAAGTACATAGGAATAAAATGGCTTGTTATGTTGCATGTGGAAACAGGAAGGCCCTAGATGTAAACAAGTTACAAGAAATAAAGAAATTGTGAATTGGCAAGCTAAATTAAAACAGAACCTGTGTTATATGTAGTAAACATTTAATTAAAACATCAACAGGCAATTGCTTGTTTCCAGTAACAACAAATATTAAAAAATAACTCTAGCTCTTTCTTTTAAACTTGAATAGTCTGTTTATTAATCAAAATCTGCTGCATCTTTCCAGGCTTCTCCCTGCAGTCCTACTTCGGCCTGCATAAGTCTTCTACGATGGATGGCACCAACACTCAGATGAGCCAAAGGGTGGAGGAGCCTGCCAAATTCATGCCCCCCAAGATTGAAATCTCGGACACTGAGTCTAAGAGGGTTTCTCCACGGCCCCACAAACTGAAACCTCGGGACATGAATGTTTTAACACCGTCAGGCTTTTGAGGCCAGCCCAAACGTGTACTTCCCTTCCCACCCATCTCCTACATGGTTGCTAATTTACTTTCCTGTCCTCTTCTACCTCCTCTACTTCCCTGCAAATTCCTTGAGAGGCCAAGAGGAATGAGGACCATCTGAGAGTGCTGGCTCATCCACCCCCATGAGACGCCATTGCAATTTTACACTTCCCATCAGACATTTTCATATGTCCATCTTTTAGGTAGTTTTCTTCCTTGGCCTACCAACTCAATGTGCAATTTAAATAAAAAAAAATGGCATAAGCAATTTTAATTTGTGACCTATAAGATGCTTTGTTTAATTGATGTCTCTTTGTGAGTGTGTTGGAATTAACTGACCTGGTTCCATTGTTTGCAATGGTGTTTGGAAGTTAAATATATTCTCTGGTCTTTGCAAAGATTTGTCACTTTACATTGCTTCCTTTACTAAAATGGGACTCCCTTTTTAGTTTAAAATACTCAGATGGCAGTTTTATAATTTTTTGTTGTTGTTGTAATGTTAAATAAGCTGATAGATTTACTGATGTAGTGCTTCTCTCTGTCAGCATGCAGAGTATAGCTTGGTGAATGACTGATAATGTCCTTAAACATGCAGTGTGCTTGCTTTTGGCAGAAGAGTTGGGTTTTTGTTTTTTACTATTTGAAAGAGTGTGTTATTGTGTTTTCAAATATGACTTGTGAATTGTTTTTATATTTTAATTCCTTAATTTTCATGTTGTCCTGCTTCAAATCGATTTTAAGTGAGTTGCTTCTATTAATACTTTGGATTTATGGTGCAGCGACAGACTACTGCAATGCAAAACAAGCTACACTGCACATTAGCATTGAAGTGGTTCATTTCGATATATTTGTTTTTCATTGTGTATTCAAGAACTGAGCTGGATTGATGGGAAGAAATTGAATTCTGCCAAGTAACTGCACAAGGGAGCAAATCCCCTACTGGCGTCTGAATAATAAATCATTCAAAACAAATAAAGATGAACTTAAGGCTTGTTCTTTTACATCATGACATGACCAGATTAACTTATAGTAGTTATGAGACTGCATGCTATCCATTGATAAATCTTTGTAAATTAAAACATCATTTAAAAACTTTATCAGTAATTTAGTGCAAAAGGTGAAACTCTGACTTGGTAAACTGATATTTTTCAAGACCAAATATACGATCATTACCAACCTACACTGCAGCTTGGAGGTCAAGGAAGCCATGAGACTCGCCAACTTTGCGGCGAGTTTCAAAGATTGTGTGTTGAACGACTGTCAAACTAGTCTCCAAATTTGTATTGGTCATGATGCGGCCTTAAGTTAAAACTATATTATTGATCTGGGTTGGACTGGTGACGTGTCCAGAGTGAACCCCGCCTCTCCACTACTGACCGCCAGAGATACCCACCAGGACCTTTCACAATCTCACCCGCTTAATCAATAATGTTAGATAATGGATGGATGGTTTTCTTAATTGCTCCTATGTAGAATTGAAATGCAAAGCATAGAATCATTTGAGCGTTGACTCCTTTTCCCCTTTTTGACAACTTCCATCAGATTTTTGTTTAAAATCCACAGGTATTTCAAAGCATTTGTGGAACTGTGCACTCAAATAAGATTCCCTTTAAGAAACCAAATAAGCACTTTGAAGGCTTGCATCACCACAGACCCTTCAACATATTAATTATTTGCTTAAGGCTACATTCACTGGAGAATAGAGAAAAGAACTAATTCGGCCTATGTCAGTCAGTTGATAGCTGACTTACAGTCAGCTATCAAACTTAGTAGAAATAAATGACTGGAATGATCATTTAGTGCAGAGTTTGGGATATTTTGATTCAAATTATTGGAAAAAGTGTTTCGATGATATTCTAAGGGACATTTTATATAAATGAAATGTCTCAGTATAAATGAAATGAAAACACTTTGAACAGCTGTGTTGCTGAACTGTCCTATGCAAATAAACTTGATTGATTGTTAAAATATATATTTTTTTAAAATATTTTTTTAAACTATTAGTCTATATTTATTTTATTAATACATATAGGCTAGTAACCTTGAAGTATTCCTTACACATGACAGTTCTTTTTGCATTTTTCAAAGTAAGTTGTGCAACGAAATGTTTTTCTAACTTTGTCAATATAGAAACTGTTAAGAGAAAATCCTGACAAAAAGATACAGGAAGCTTTTCTTCATGTGACTGGGATCTGACTACATTCACTTGCCGTGTTTGACCAGAAGATGGCACAATTTGTCCAAAGTGAGCTCTTAAGAGATCACTTCATGTTTCCTTATGACGTTCATTGATGATAAGCTCAGATTGTTAAAATAAGGTGGCAGGGAAATTAAAGTCATCTTTTGATTTCTCTTCTTTCTTCATGTTAACGGAAGAATTTCAAATTGCTCTTAGTCACAACTACATGGGAAATGTTTTATATTACGACCTGCTAAGCAGAAAACTAGACTCTCCCATTTTTATTGCAATTATGAGCTATGAGTTCAAGAATTAGGAAACCCATGTTAGAATCAAACTGTGAAAATGACCTAATTACACATATATCTTTTATTATGCACTTATGTTCTGCTGAAATGTTCTTTAGAACGCCTGTTACACCTAGTTACTCAGTCTAATTGCCATCTGATTGTCTAATTGCCATCTGTCCTAAACTTTTTTTTTATTCCTGTGTAATAAATAGTAGCTACTGTAAAAATTTGCTTTCATTTCATGAATCAGTCTCAAACATTTAATTAGTTTTGTTCTGTCATCAGAAATTTTATTGTATTAATAACACTGTTGACAGTTTAATGCTTCATTTAATTTTATCTCTTCCCATCGAAGCAAATATGCGGCTCACAGAGAAACGAGCCAGAAGGAAACATCAGCATGAATCAGTTTTAGCTTTCTAAGCTCAGCTTGAGATACAGCTTTTTAAATTTGCAGTCAATGATCGCATTCTGCATATACGTGTACATGCAGCTTATTTACAGACGTGGAAAAAAAGGTTTGGTACCTTAGTTAAGATTAATGAAAACCCTGAAACTATATTAACCATTTTAATGCAGACACTTTTTGCAGCTGCAAAAAATGTATGCATTTATTGCAGTAGCTTAGTCTTGAAATTTTAGAAAAACAAAATTTTCACTTTCCGTGCCAAATAAATAAATAAATAAAATATGGAAACAATTGCTTTAAATCTCTGGTGATACAATTGCCACTACTTTGTATGTCAATTTTTTACAATTATGCTCTCACTTAGTCTTTCTTTGGAAATTTCCCCAGGCTTGGGAATAAAGAGGCATCTCTCTTTCCACCATCTCATTAAATCATCCTCATTCCTTGGTTCTTTTTTATGCTCTTGTCTCTTCAGCTCAGTCCACAAGATTAAATTCTGGTAATGGCAAAAGATTCATTTTGTGTCTAGTGAATCATTTGAGCGTTGACTCCTTTTCCCCTTTTTGACAACTTCCATCAGATTTTTGTTTAAAATCCACAGGTATTTCAAAGCGTTTGTGGAACTGTGCACTCAAATAAGATTCCCTTTAAGAAACCAAATGAGCACTTTGAAGGCTTGCAGGCTTGCATCACCACAGACCCTTCAACATATTAATTATTTGCTTAAGGCTACATTCACTGGAGAATACAGAAAAGGACTAATTTGGCCTATGGTTACATTTTCAGTTAAAGATCCACGTGTTTAGAAATGTGATGTTGGGGCAGAGAAGTGTTTTTTTTTTTCATCCATGACTTCCAAGGAATTGTTTGCATGTAGATAACATTTTACTAGTTTATAATGCTGACCCAAGATAGCACTCCTTGCTGTAGCCCTCTAACGCGCGGCTCCGAAGACGTTTTATCTCCATCAGTATTGCACCTGATGGATTACCAATTAGTGTTCTAGATCAACTACAAGTTCTCACCTATATGAATTAAAAAGGGTTTGAATTATGTTTATTTGAAAATGATTTTTTTTGGTTACCATTAATTGTGTCAGTGATGCTTTTGTTAAAAGTTGCTCAGATTGAAGACTAATTTAATGAGATATTGTTTTACGTAGATTTGGGCAGTAGGATTTTTGGTTCTCTTTTTATGCTGTTTCAGTGTTATCTTTATGTCCTTCAGTTTTTGTGTTTTTGATTTTTATGATTTTTTTTTTTAGAAAGCACTTTGCGGTTTTGTTCTGCGAAGTAAGTAAATAAAACCTTTGTCAAAAAGGTTTTTTTTTTTTCTTTTGTCAGTTCTAAGTTTGAGATTAATCTGTGCTTTTAGCCATATTTACCAGGGGTGCCAATAAATTTGTGTTCGTCTGTAATTAAGGGTGTGCCTCCAGTCTCTGTTTTACTTGTTTCTGCAAACACTGGAAAGAAAACCTAACTCATTTAAAGCGACTCAGCAAAAAGAAAAAAAAAAGAAGAAAATGCTAGAAAAAAAAATGCCTGGATGTTTTGTTGAGGCTTAGGTTAGAAGTGATGTAGACGGACACAAAGCAAATGGCAGAAACGTGGTGAAGTTGTGGCAAGAGAAAGAAAACGTTTGCGCAAAACTGCAGTGACAGATGAAGGTATTCCATCTTGAGATACATTCTTTTGAGACACGAAGGACAGCAGATACAGCTGGGACACAATGTCTGTGTCCGTAGCACTAAAACAAAAACATACACACAGCAGCACCGCAAAGCTAAGTGGGTGGGGGACTCTGGGAGGAACAGAAACAGGGAGATGGGGAAACTAAGAGGGATGGGTGGAGTGCCCAAGCCGTCATGATGTAATACAAATTTTTCTCCTTCTCACTGGATCCGACATAACATTGCAGCGTACCCCTCACCCCACACAAATCGGAGCACCACCCAGCCAGAGTGACCACGGCTCTGAACAAAACAGCTCTGCTGCCTCCGCTGTCTGAGACTTCACTTACTCACCTCCATGGGTTAAGAAAAAGAAAATTACTGTCTGGCTCAAATCTTTCCTTAACAACCTCCAAACAGTGACTTCAAATCGGTGACACCCTGACCATGAAACAACTTATAGTTACCAGTCTGTGTACCAGTTTACTGGAAATCACGGCATCCAGTATCAGCAGCCTACACGTAACCGGAAGCGCATGTGCCAGTGGTAAAACGTCTGGGGAAAGGTTGTTAAAGTTTAAATGGGGATAAAGGTCAGCTAAGAAGATGACATGAATGAGCTTTTCTCCTATATACATAGGAGAAGGTTTTATGAGGACGAAACCACAATGGAGCGATGTCAATTTGTGCAGTAGAATGAGATTTCTTTTTTCACAACTAAAATGCT